AGATTTAATCATTTCTTTGTTAATAAAGTCAATATTAACTGTCTTGTCAATAACTATATTTCCAGTTATCTCGATCAGCCAATCACTGATGAAAGAGTGAATTTATTGATGAGCAGATTAATAGTTATATCGCTTTATGAACCCTATCATCAGAGTTGGCCCTTCTACACACCTTATTTTTTGTGAATTCAATATCGTTCCCTAAAATGGGCCAACGCTTGTTTTAGTTAATACTGACTCATTAAAATTTTATTCAGAACAATGAAAATTGCCAGCCTTATAGGACAGCTTTTCGAATCAAGAGCGTTGTTAAATAAAAACATCATGCGAGAGAATTTGGATGCCTTTTACAAAACTGCAATCTTGTCTTATTGCCAAAATCCCTAAAGGCCATTGTTAGATTAGCAAGCATTTTTTTCGCACTTCAGGATGCTGAGTTGCTTCGGATATTCCGTCTCATCTGTTGTGTGGCACATGAACTAGTCGAGGCTAGTCATGGGCATATCTTGCCGCATCCTGAACAACATGAAGTCATTTGCCGGCTTGTCCATTGCCTTGATGCTGTATTAAACTGGAGTTTTTTGCCCAGAGAGTGTAAGTTAATACTCCATTATTGAACTTTAACACTTAAAACCATTTAATTTTCATCTTATTTTATAAGTATAATTCTGGAAGATATTTAAAGTAATTTATAGCTTATCTTGCATGTTTTTTTTAACATATTTTACGTTAAATTCCTTCTTTACCTTTATCTCAATTTTATTATCATGTTGGCCTCTTAGCTGCAGAACGCTTTTAAAATGTACGATACCAACAAGTATCTATTCTCGCTTATCTTTCTTTCTTAATGCCGAATAAAAACGATTTCTTTAAAATAATTATGCCTGAAGCCAGGTTCAAATGGTGTTTTTTTATATTAAGACAATTATTTTCCATTTCTTCATTGATTTGAATTTCACTGCTTCACTTTCACTGCAAATTCTTCACGAGCCTGCTCGAGAATTTCACTCAAAATCGTACAAACCAGAATTTGCAACGAATGAATTTGACTATGCTCATGTTACATCATTATTCTTGATTACATTAGTCCTTGGTTTCTGTGCTCTTCGCCGACGTCGTGGGGATCAGACTCAAGCTGTGTTTCGGCCTGGCCTCTCTTGGGCTCCACTTCTTGGCACTGAGGCCCTGTCAGCAACCGTCGGTCTCTTTTTTAAGGTAGGCAGTTAACTTCTCTTCCTATTCCTCTAAGTTATGAATTCAATCTCTTGCATTCTTAATCTATTATCGAACTTAATGGTTATATCTAATCTCATCTATAGTATACGGTTCTTAGAAAACCTCTATGCATACCATTGTTTCAATTAGTCTTATATCCTTGATTTCCTGTCTTTAAAATGGATTTTAGGTATGGAGGCTATGTATAAAAATCAAGCTTATGAAACCATAAATGAGTGAAAACTCAAACCTTGGCCAAAAGCATAGTGAGCTTAATATTAAGTAATAACAAATCTTGTCACTGACTCATACTTAACCTGTTTGGGAGCATCCATAGTTAAGTACTAATTTGTCTCTAAATTTTCAATATTAAGTGCTCACCTGCCTATTATGAAGAGCTTTAATTTCGTTTTACTTTGCACAATTTTGGAAAAATGGTTAGAGATTTAAATAATGAATATAACTTAAAAAAATCCGGGCACCATCAGGAAGAAGTAGCGTTATTTAATATTTAAGCTGGGTATATTCTCCAAGCTACGGATGGTTACAATCATTAAGATAAATCAGGTGTTGATAAAAATCGAATGTTGATTAATGAAAACGGAGGACTCAAGAGAAATACATTTCATAACCCCTGGAGACTATGGTGGCAAATTCGTCTTTTAATCATTGTAAAGATATTCCGGTACACTTTTTTGTGGAATTAACTTGATCTATACGTCAGCTATTTGTATATCGGTGATTACCACCTTTTAAGCCAGCGTCAGATCTAACGAAAAGTTTCGCCTGATTAACCATTTACCGTATGACTATTCTCCTGCTTAATTTCACTTCTTAACATTCAAATTATCAATTCATCTGCCATATAACTTGTTCGCCGTAGCAAATGGATACCTAATATTCTAGCCCCCTATTATTACATTAAGAAGAACCTTTATTTTGCTTTACGATTTCTGGTGAGTAACCGCGAGTTTCGAAATCAGATCAGGCCTTGTACGTAGTAGCTCCTTTACTTCTACTTCATCGCCAATTCTATTAAGTGGCGAGTCACTAGCTACTTTTAGGTAGCGTCGGCATCTCCATTCATATTTTTGTTTTTTTTATGCTAAAACCTACAGTTTCAGTTAGAGCAAGTTCGGCGGCCAAGACTATGCCATTCGTTATGTTTTGTGTTATACTCTGAACAGTTGACTGTTGTATAGAAGTTGTTTGACCTTGTTTTCGCAACTTAGTCATATTGGTAGGAAGACTTATAGAAACGCACCTTGTCCTGAGTCTATTTTATACATAATTATTTCCAAAGTCGAACCGTGGACGCGGTACATTCCCAAACGTTTCGCTGGCATCGTAGTCGGCATCTTCAGTGAGTCTCGCCATTCGTAGCACCATATTACAACTCGTCAAATGGACAAGTGAAGCCCATCCTTTGACAAATCGTGTGCTAAACAGTTATGGTATCTCACCTCGCCCTGGCCTATTCACATTTCCTATATCCTTCTATCATGCCTTCCCTGTCACAGTTTTTTTACCGTGCTTATTCCTAATGTGCTGTGTGCCCCTTCGAGCGGCATTCATGAAAACCCTTCACACTCCACACTGTCGTTATCACCCCTTCACCCTTGTGATGGGAATGTTGATCAGAGTTTGTCATATTGTTGTGTAGTCCTTCCCTGGGTCCTATCAAAGTCTCTTTCTTGCCCCGTCGAATCCGTCTGCTTTCTTCCTGGTACATGTATTTAACTCGATCCCTCTTTCCCCATCTGTACTATTCGAAACGTAATTCGTCCATCATTTGCACCTGGGTGACTAATTCTGGGCTCAAGCCTCGGAGTAAGTCTAGTGGTCACGCCTTTGCCACATGGACCATGTCCCTTGTAAAACCTACTGTCAGCCAACTAGCTCCAATCGAAGCCTCGTCTATCCTGTCTCTATTCCTGAAGAACCATCAAATTTGTCCGGGTTGGCTTGGTCTTGATCCGTCTTATTATCCCATAGCTAAGCGATTTCTTGTCATACCCCTTATTTATCTGATCCTGAAACCTCTGTGACTTCTGGTGTGTCATGCTCGAGTTTTTTTTGAAAATCATCCAAAGTGAGAACCCCACCTAGATACTTCCTTAATCTAGATTTGAGATCTATGAA